TTATTCAGATTTCCCTTTGTTCAAAGTTTACTCTGTTTATTATTCATTCTCTCCATCTCCCCGCATCTATTTACTTAACTCTCTGTTCATACATTTTTGGGGCTGTACAATAGTAAGCCTCCTGGCTCTTCCAAGCACTTTAGTGTACACAGACTACCTACGAATACAATTTTACATGTACATCAATACAGTGCTTTTGTCTAATGTGCCACCCATATTTCAATTTTCAGGTGATCTAATAATACCCCCCATGGATGCATTTGAATTGTGCTGTTGGGGAAGAATCTTGCAAGTTCCAGGGACCACCAGGATTACAAACCCTCTCAGAAGAACAGACAGAATATCCTTAGGAGCGAGGATGGAGAGACTGCGTCCCATACTTTGGACATGTTGTCAGGAGGGAACCGTCCCTGGAGGAGGCCATCGTGCTTGACACAGTAGACAGTCACTGAAAAGGGACAGCGCCTTCCACCAGATGGATCGGACACCGTGGCTGCAGCAACGGGCTCAAATGTAACAGTTGTGGGGACGGCGCAGGTCTGGGCAGTGCTCGTCCTGCTATACATGGTTTGCTGGGAGTCAACTCGATGGCGCCTAATAGCATCTTTCGATGGCTAATTCCTCGGATTTGAGTTGTGGTCCTGGAGAAGAATATTGAAAATACCGTGGACTTCTAAAAGGTGGGTCAGTGGATGAATGGACAGGTGGGTGAGTGGGTGGAAGGTTGGAAGAAAGGGCAGCTGGGTGGGTGAGTGGATGGATGATGGGATAGGTGGATCAAGGATGGATAGGTGAGTGGTGAGTGGATGGATGATGGGATAGGTGGATCAAGGATGGATAGGTGAGTGGTGAGTAGATGGATGAACAAATGGGTAGGCGAGTGACGGGTGGGTTGGCAAGTGGATGGGTAAGACAGTAGATGGAGAGTTGAGTGGGTAGAAGGGTGAAGAATGGATGGGTTGGTGAGTGGGTACATGGATGGGTGAATGGATGGGTAGTTAGGTGGATGGAGAGGTGGGTGGATGAATGGATGAACATTTCTCCCAGCATTTGCTTTCCCTCCACCCCTGCGCCTTGGGGAGACCACCTGGCTGTCCTGACTCACCTCTCTGGCCCTGGGCCCCAGCAGGTAGCTCCGGGGGCTTCCCCAGGAGCAGACAGGGCTGAGAGTTCTTGCCTTTTCTCAGGACGGCAGACGGCAGTCCTCCCTCCTCTACCTGACCCTGCTGTGGGGGTAGGAGGTGGCAGGCAAATCATGATTTGTCATGATTTGTCAAGCTGGTCCCCCGGCTCCTGTGGCTCACGTGGAGCTGGAGTGTACTGGGAGACCACGCAGAAGCCCAGGGGACAGTCCTACCTGAGCCAGCCCCAGTGTCTCTGGCAGATGTTTTTTCTTGAAGGAGGCAGGAGATGCAGCTGACTCTGGTCCCCAGAGACATCTCCACAGGGTGGAGGGTGAGACGAGGGTCTTCATCACACTCATGCTGTCTATCCTGCTGTCCCTGCACACTGGAAGAGAGGGCAGCTCAGAGTGACCACACACAGCATCCTTGCTGGAGAGTGCAAGGCAAGAACTGGCCCCAGGAGGCAGCGGGCTCCGGTCTAAAATGTCCCATGTCTCCCCTTCACACTTGGTGTATAAACCCAGGCCTTCCTCGACATTTTCTTGCCGGGTGAACTCTGACAAACCCCTTTCCCTCTCTGGGCCTCAGTTTCCCTTCTCTGTAAAACAAAAGGCCTGGCTGAGACAAGGTGCAGCAAGAAAGGCCTTGAGTCAGGCACGGCAGGGATCTCTCAGTTCTGCTGTCTCATTAGGAACCCCAGGCCTTAGGAACCGAGGCCTGTACCAGGCCGGGAGTCCCAGAGCACATTGTTGCTGGCTTTCTACCGGAACTCTTTCACCACTCAACGCCGGGCACGGCTTGGGAGAGGAGGGAGGAGATGGCCAGTGGGGCCCTGCCTGGGTGGGCCTTTCACTCTGGGATGGGCACCTCCCCTGGCAGCTGCCCTTCAGGGACAGCCATTCCCCAGTAGGGGTGGAGGAGGGCCTGCTGTGTCCATCAATCAAAGCAGTGGGCCTTTGCCAGTCTCCCTCCTGCCTTTGTCTGGGTCTGAGCAGGAGCCCATTTCAATGAAGACAAAACTTGAGTGGATCATTGAAGTAATCAGTGGAGAATTTGGCACCCCTGCCTGGCCAGTCAGCACCCAAACAACCTGGCCGGTCTGCATAACCAGTTCGGTTCCCTCTCCCTGGAGCGCCTTCCTGTAAAGCAGCAGTTCTCAACCTGTGGGTCACGACCTCTTTAGGGGTCGAACGACCCATTCACAGGGGTCTCCTAAGACCATCAGAAAACACCTATTTCTGTTGGTCTTAGGAACCAAGACACCACTCCTCTATCCATCTCCAGGCGGTCCGCCCACATGCAGATAAAAGTGACCCACACATCCCTGCAGTACACTGCAGCGCTCTGGGTACTCTATCTACCCCCAGGTTGAGCCACCCAGATGGTGGCTGTGTCCAGCCT